AATTTAAAGCAAGGTCTACTCAAAGAATCCATACTCAAAGCTTGTTAGAGTTCTCCCTTCACAGCTGTTCTACTGAACTGAGGACATCAAAATATATTTATAAGAGATAAGATCATGAAATAATTATAACTTCTATACCTGGTCCTTCTTTATTTTATGCCTAACAAAATACATGAAAGATACAGGTCAAATATATAAATTATCAAAAAGTTCTGAAATAATCAAGCAAACACTTTTAATGAATTATGTACTGGGTAATAGATGAAGATAATATCTGCAGTGGTTTGAATGCCAATTGTTCCAGAGGCTGATATATTTGATTACTTGTTTTCCTAGTTGGTGGAATTGTTTAGGAAGGATTGAGATGTATGGCCTTGTTGGGGTAGGTCTATAACTGGGGGCAGCCTTTGAAGTTTAAAAAAAAAAATCATGTAATTCCCTAATTCCCAGTCTATTCTCTCTCTCTCTCTCCCTCTCCCTCCCTCTCTCTCTCTCTCTCTCTCTCTCTCTCTCTCTCTCTCTCTCCCTCCCTCCCTCCCTCCCTCCCTCTTCTCCCTCCCTCTCCCTCTCCCTCTCCCTCTCTCACTCTCGCTCTCCCTCTATCCCTCCCCCTCTCAGTTGTAAATGTGAGCTCTCAGCTATTTCTTCCTTCCAACATCATGGACTCTAACCCTCTGAAAGTGCAAGCATGGTGTTTTTGTCACAGCAATAGAAAACTAGGACAGATGCTGGAACCAAGAAGGAAGCTATTGCTTTGATAGGCCTACCAATGCTGGTTTTGGAGTAATGTGGTAGACTATGAGACTTGCACTAGGGAAGTGGTTAAATATTATAACAGGTCATCCTAGTGGGAGCTAGGAAGACAGTAACAGTGAGAGCAACGTGGACTATGGAGGATCAACTCAAGGAACAATATTATTATTGGAGAGGAACAATATTAGCAACTGGTCTAGAGACTATGTTTGTGATATTTTGGTAAGGAATGTGACTGCTTTCTTCCCTTGAACTAATAATTTACCTGTGACTAAACTGAAAAGTAATAAACTCATTTCCTTGGAAGAGGTGATTTCAAGACAGACTACTATTCAAGACAGACTACTATTCAAGACAGACTACTATTGACTCATCTTGATTCACAACACAAGGCGGAGGGGTGGGGGTGGTGGCACATCAAGAATTGCATGAGTCTTTTGAAACTTCAAAGCCTACCTTAATGACAGTTATTACTAATTGCACTTATGCAGGTCTACAATGAAAAAGAACAAGTGGAATAAAAGAAATAGAGAACATACATCTTAAGAGAAAAAGAGCATCAGGAAATGTAATGTTGGAACCAAGGCTTGTGCTGAAAACTAAAAGGCTAAAGAATGGCTTGGTCTGAAAGGGAATGAAGGAAGTAGTAAACTCAGGGCAAGACCCCACCCACCAACTAAGTTTTTAACTTGTGAAAAGGCTTGCTCCTGAAAATAAACAACAACAAAATTAAGGCTATTGATGTGACTGAAGGGGTACCAGGGTTCACCTCACCCCAAGTTGGTAGTCAAACTTGGCAGTGTCCACCACATGGTTCTAGGCTTTAGAATTGTGAAAGATGCATGAGTAAAGGGGTTCTAGAATCTTCCTCCATGGTTAACAAGAGCCACTGAGGCCAGGCATGTTGCACAGGAGTCCCTGAATAGGAGCCTTGAAAGGCCATTGCATAAAGCTATGAGATTCTTGGTTTGTGTTGGAAACCCCAAGATATTGTGGGTGCCAGATCCATGGGATATCAGTCAAGGAGAGCGGCATGGTAGAAGTGAAGCCAGTGGAGCAGAAAAAAGCATACTGCAGAAAGTAAAGCTGGAAGAGTGGGGCCATCGAATCCCTTTGACATCAGCATAGAGCTACAGGCCTTCGAGTTTGTGGTGCTGGCTTTCAGTCTTGCATTGGTCCAATATTTCCTCACTATTTCCAAATGCCTTCCTTTTGGAATGGTAAGGTATATTTTGTGCCACTGTATGTTAGAATTATGTAACATGAGTTCTTATTTTATGGTGGATTCAAGTGAAGAGAGTCCCTTGAGTCTCAGTAGAGACTTTGGACTTTAAAACTGTGTTGAGACTGTGAAAAACTACGGGGAATTTTGAAGTTGACCTAAATGCATTTGGTGTTGTGATATGGCCACAAGCCTATTAAGGGCCAGGAAGTGGAATTTGGTAGTTTGAATGAGAATGGCCCATATATTTGAATATTTGGTTCATAGTTAGCAGAAATGCTTTTGGAAGGATTAGGAAGTGTTGGAGGACATGTGTCACTGGGGGAAGGGCTTTGAGATTGCAAAGGACTCATCGAATCCTCAGCTCTCTTGGCCTCATGGAGACAGATCAAAACATGGGCTCAAAGCTGCCTCTTTGCTCTACCATCATGGACTCTCACCCTCTGAAATCATAAGCTAAATTAAGTGATTTCTTTATATGTTGCCTTTGACTCAGTGTTTTGTTATAGCAACAGAAAGGTAACTAAGACAATATCTAATGAAGCATTATATTTTTAATAAAAAATTGTTTTCCTTAATAAACATGATTTCTTAAAATAGTAAAAGTTACTCCTCATAAAGAAAAAACAAAGGAAATTTATCTAAATACTGATGATTATTTAAAAGTTATGTTTTCATTCTAAGACTGTCAGAGAATCATAAAAGCGTGCAAAATAAAAATACTGGTTCCCATGCCCCAAAATATGTTAGAGTAGAAAAACCAAAGGAAGTATTAAATATCTATGTGTAAATGAAATAAATAAATCCACAGTAAGATATGACTTGCTAACAGGAACAATACTCTATGATAAATTATTTTTCAACAGGCACTGGAAATATGGGTTTTGAGATGCTGGAACCTGAGCCACAGAAATCTTAATGCACAGAAATCATTTATGAGTCCAGTGAAACTCTGAAATGGACAAATATTGAACTGTACAATCAAAGGCAACTCATGTTAGTGAGTGGTACATTATCTTATCTAGCACCCTACACACTAACAACCTGAATCATTTTAAAACACTATCTTTTATTTCAACTTTTCATACTTTTTATTTCACATTTGAAGTCTTCCACAAATGTTAAGAGAAAAGGTAAAATTTAGTTTATAAAAACAAATATTTAAATGTAACAACAACAAAAAGAGCAAAGTGGTATCTTCAAGCTTCCTTTCTTCCGCACTATTTTAAAAATTGATTTTGATAAATCTCTAACTAAAAAATAATTTTGTTTTTTAAGCTCACCTTTCTTTGACTTGAGTAATCTGAATGATAGCACACTCAACTGCATTTAGATGAGTGTTTCCACTCTTTCAAAGAATGAGATTCTTATCATTTTTAAGACTTTCCACAGAATATGTGTATATGAGGTAAAATATTTAAAATTCTTTAATACCTTCAAATGTACATATTTTAGAAAGACTAGTATGTGCTGTGATTGAGATAAGTCTTCCCTCAAAGGCCTATATATTAAAGTAATGGATATTAGTCCATGAAGAAAATGGAAGACTGTGAGAAGACATGGAAATCTAGTAAAAGGTTTTCTGTTCATTTGAGACATGTCCTTGATTGAGCCCTTCTTCCTTTATCGTCATCATTATGTGTAGGATGTTACTCCCCAATATGATCCCTGTCATATGGTACTGCCATACCTGATTCTCAAGAGCAATAGGACCACCATAGATTTAAACCTCCTGAATTATAATGCAAAATAGGCCCATTCTTTTCATAATCGATTTTGGCAGGTATTTTGTTTAAAATGATAAATACAGAAATAAGATTAGATAGACAGACAGACAGACAGACACACACATATATAAATATAAATGTATATGTGTATATATATATATATATATATATATATATATAGAGAGAGAGAGAGAGAGACATAGAAGGTAGATATATTCACTCACTTAAAAACTCTTCTAATAGCTCAAAATTCCTTTAAATGCATAAGAGCTACCGATGAGAACCACTAAGAAGACAGGTTATGAGCAACAAGTTTGCACATCAACTATGGAAGACAGATCAGGAAGGCATAAAAGTTCTCACTTTCCAAACATGCTACAGACCAAGGGTTAAAAGTAATCTAGCAATGGCAGGCCTTTGTGTAACTTTTTATTAATCCAATGTGTTTAACCCAAAAATGTAGAAATTTGGGCCAGAGAAAAGGTGCTTGCCCCCAAACCCAAGAACCTGAGCCAAAGCTACAGGACTTATATAAGTGGAAGGAAAGAAATGACACCTTGAAGGAGTCCTCTGACTTCCACATGCATGCTGTGACACATGCATGCCTATATGCACACAAAATACAAAAGGAAAAACACATTAGCAGCTTATCCATCTGGATCTGGAATGGTCTTTTAGGAATCCTTTATTAAAATCAGCCTAGCAGCCTTTAGAGAGAAATAAATGTGCTTGACTTGTACCATTGTAGACCAGCTGGATTCTGGGATATAATTTTAGTAATTTTAGGGAATTAAAATGAAAGGCAAGATATGACAAGATATGCTAAATAGACAAGGCCATTTCAGAAAGTGTTATGAACCAGGAAAACAATAAACATTCAACTATCGCCATGATTTAAAGTGCTAATTTTCTTACCTTCCGCTTTGCTCCTGCCCCAACTGAGGGATTAATTGGATCTACTATCTGTTGAGCTTCACGGTGACTTTAAGATCAAGTAAATGATTTTAAGTACGTGAACATAATTTATCAATTCACTAAAAAGTAAATATTCCACTTGTAGAAATCTAAGTTGGTGACAGGCCAAAGGTCATGGGGAGTATTAGCTAGAGAGAATGAGAAGCGCTAAGAAGCACAAGCTCATGAATTGCAGCAAAAATAATCTTTGAAGCACAATTTTTGAGTTTTAAGGGAGAGCCATGACGATTCCTTCAGTTGTGATATTAAGATGTTTCCTTTTTCTTCCCTCATTCTAGGGGCTGTGGAAAAGCAGTTACAACCGTGATGAAGAGATTGCTTACAGGCTTGTATCTCAGAGCGTCTCTGTAGGAGCCAAACAAAGCTGCCTGAGCCCTCAGAAAGGCTCGAGCCACTCCATCTCCCGTTGCTGTGGACTGCTTCTTCAGCTTATTTTTCAAGGCCGAGACCTGCATGGCAGAGAGGAACAGTTAAATTAACACCTCAGAAATTGGTACAGCGAGGTACGAACCCAATCAGCAGGCAAAGCCCAATGTCTGCAGGTCAGCCAAAATCCACCCTCCTCCCAGATAGCTTATCTTTTTAGCTGCACAGAGCACCTGCTGCTCTGCTAATTGAAACAGGAGCGGGAGCGGATAGCAATGTGCTAATGCAAATTGGTTTATGCTCTCTTTTTTCTCCCAAGGCCTCTTGACATAACTAAGCTTTAATTATTTACAGTAAACTGCTTGTGAGGCACTTTCCTGCAGATTTTTAGCAATTATAACGTGTGTCTACTTGTTTGGAGATAAAGCTGGTTCAGGAGCGTTCATTTCTGTTATGCATTGTTATTTGTTATGAGTCCTTCAAGATCATTTACAATTTTATTTTCAGTTCGGAGGTGTCATTTGCATAAGTAATTTTCGCTTTTTACCATTAATAGAAGACAAGAGGGAAGAGATAAAGTTATAGAGACCATATCATGAGCGGAAAATTATGTAATGCAAGTGTTATACATTGTCTCATTTAAATTTCATCACATTTTCCTAAGAAAAACATTCATGCTCTCATTTAGAAATGAAATAAAGTTGGGGCAAATGATAGAAACTACTTTGTTTCACGATGTGGCTACTCTGGGGTAAAGTGGTACAAGTCCAGTGTCCACTATTTCTCATTACCACGTGCTAGACTGGAGTTCTATATCACTGCCATATTAATCAGCAGTCAGAACAAAATACTAATATTTTGAAAACAGAGATATTTTATCAGGGAATCTGCAAACCTTGAAAAATTGTTGAATTATTACAATATTTTCTGCCAATTCTATCCCCTAATTTCAAGTGCTCTGCACTTTAGAAATGCAACTACGTTCATGGACTGATCTCCAGTGAGCTCACACTCAGGAGGTTAGCTCGCTTTATTCATTTCACTAACTATTGTCAATCAAAATAGAAAACTATAGTCTCTGCTCTTGAAAACACCAAATTCCATCTACATTCCTTATCAATGTTTTAAGTAGAAATATGTGGGGGCCACCCTCTCAGGGGACAGGAGGAAGAGGAATGAGGGGAAGAACTCTATGAGGGGGACCGGGAGGGGGCAGCATTTGGGATGAAAATAAATAAAATAATTAATAAAAAATAAAGAAAATGTGAAGTTGCATCACAAGTCTATTTACTTATACAAATCAAAGCAAATTTAGCTCAGTTTTAACTGTACTGCTCCCTCAATACAGCATATTATCTATACAATACTATCATTTATCCTTTACATTCATGCCAAGGGGAATGTTTTTATTTCTTTGTTCAAGTAGTCCTGACTACTCTTGTAGATGCTGACTGTAACTGAAGTATGAACCTAATTAACAAGTAAACTTTGAATAATGCTAATGAGAAATGAACACAGCATCAGAGGAAAGACCAACTCTACAGGTGATAAACCTTCACAGTAGTGACATTTTCCAGTGTAAAGTCACAGTTACTGTGATCTCATCAAAGAAACAGACCCCCATTGGGTCCAATTATAACTATAGTTTTGAAAAATTATCGAGTTATGGTATTCATAATCTATGCAGAAAGGCCTTTGTGGTACAGGTCTTCTCCCCATAGCTGTGATCTTTTCAATTTATATCCAAGCTCCACACACTCAGATGAAAGTTTAGAGCCTAATTCACTTAGTCACAAAGTGATAAACCTGATTCATTTCAGAGAAAGCTTTTATTTTAAAATCTAACCTCAGTTTAGGTAATCCACATATTCAAACAATAATGCAGTTCCAACACATTTCAGACTTAATGTCCTCTATTCTGCATTGAAAGGTTATTTTTCTATATTTAAAGAAAAAATAGAGATAATTATCAAAATATAGATCTGATAATCGTTCTTCCCATAAAGATTATGGTACAAGGAAGATATTTCCAGTGGTTAAGAACATTATGAAAACTAAATGAATAGCTGGTTTTAAACATCTTTTCTACCAAAGAAAGAAAGAAAGAAAGAAAGAAAGAAAGAAAGAAAGAAAGAAAGAAAGAAAGGAAGGAAGGAAGGAAGGAAGGAAGGAAGGAAGGAAGAAAGAAAGGAAGGAAGGAAGAAAGAAACCCACCTATTTACAAAAGCCATCCCTTGTATCTTTGCAAAACAAATTTCCTTGATTTATAATTTTCAGTAAAACTGACGTTTCAGTTCTTCATAAAACAAGGAACCAGTACTGATAGGAAGTCAGCACACACTCATGGAAAGTGCAAGCATCGTCCACTGCAGCCTTACCTTCAACATGCCCTGGACTGTGCAACTTCTACCCAAACTATCCGGGAGAATTTGTCACAGCACCAAGCCCTTCCTGACCAAAGGAAGACACTGCCTTCACTTCTACAGTCAGTCACCTGGTGAATGCTGAGGAGTATTTTGCAAACATCTAGTATACAGGAAAGAAACAAGAAAAAGGAAGTCCCTATTCTATAACCATGCTTTCCAGAATGGCAGCCATCAGCCACAGGAGCAAATAAATGTCCTTATCCAAGCCCATATCTTCTCCAAATATAAGGAGACCTCACATCTAGAATATTCTGCACACAAGGTAACCTCATAACACATTTTATGTTCACTATACTTTTGAAACTCTATTTTGGGCATGGAGTTAAATAAAATACATCATTAAATCAATTTCACCTCTTCTTTGATTTATAAATCAGATTTCTAGAGTGTTTGTGATGTGCTATGTGGCACTCACCGTGTTTCTCTTGGTCAGTGCTATGATAAATGACCGTCCTATCTAATCTCATATAAATATGTAACAGTTAAAATTTCCCACCAAGAAAAATGCTAATTTTTTCTTTGTTTATTTCTGTATTATTTCAAGTACATTACAAAGATTTTTTTTCTTTGCTTGTTCTAGATTGCCACAACTGTCACTAGATCTGAGCAGTTTTATGGGACAGAGGGACAGGTGAATTCAAGATTTCTGTGTATGGATACGGATGCTCAATAAATTGTCTATCAAAATGAAATTGTTTTTAAAAATCCATTTTAGAAATAAGTGAATTAATCTAATATAAACTGACTGTATTGAGCCTTGCTGTGTTCACTGGTCTTTAGATCACTGCAGTAAATCAACACTGGTTACCATTGCCCTTTGGTGCTAATTAGCTTTTAGCAGTTTATAATCTATAATCTGATGGTGTCTCTTCTGAACCCTTTGTGATAACTGCTCTGGGAAATAGCATTTTCTACTTTAGTTCCAAGCTTCTACCTTTAGGTATGAAATAAATGTACATCTTCCTATGTAATTGGAAAATGTAATTAACATATAACTCTGAATTCAGAAAAATATATAGAACTTTGGTCATGAGGCTACCACAAATATTGTTATACTAAAAAAGAATGGAGGTTTTTTTTCGTTAGGAAAGTAACTATACTAAACCCTCACTAGCTAAAGATTACATCACAACTCTTACTATTCTTTATTTTAGACATTTTTCTGCCTATAATTACATTTTTGGTCTAGTTAGATATTTACAAGTCCAAAAATATTGAGTGAAAAAATCTTTAGAAATAACTATTTTATTTCTCATCTTAAATATTTAGATTCCCTTTACATAAGGAGAATTTGGGTGTCAAAGCAACCATCCCTAGCATTAGAAGCAGGATTTTTAGCAGTGGGAGTTTACAGCATAATCAATAATATTGACACCAACTGTCCACGTTGTCCCTCTTAGCAATGAAGTGACTGTGAAGAAAAAGACAAAAAGTCCACAAGTAAACAGAGCAAATGGAACAAATAGAGTGCGGGCCCATGTGTTTATCACAACCGGGCAAGGAAGTCAGTAAGTCTGTAGGACAGGCACGTCTACAGGGTGTTTGTCAGGGAAACAGTGGGGTTTTCTCTTCACTTCTGTAATACCATTTGGATAAAAAAAAAAAAAAAAGACTGCCTTACCTAGATATTCTAATTTTATTTTCAGCATCATGGTAAAGAACAAGGATGAAAATGTTCAGCAACGACAATGATCAGCATGGCATAACCACAAGGAAACATAAGTGGCACGCGTACCTTGACTAATTATCTAGAGATAATTAAGTCATGGATATAAAACCAGCACTTCATTAAAACAGCTAAATACCTAACTATATTCTAAGTTTTGTTAATAAATGTTACTTTCACTCCTCTACGAGGAAACTTCTCTTTGCAACAAATGGGGACCATTACAGAAAGACATAACTGATCAGACTGCAGCATCGTGGGGCCCAGTCCCAGCTGACACCTCTACAGGACGCCTGCACCTGAGGCTCAGGAATCATTGTCTAAGAAGGAGCGGAGGATCAGGGCGTTGCTGTGAGGTTTGACTCCTACAAATGTTAGAAAGTATAGCCATAAAGTCTTGCCAAGATGAATGCCTAAAATGAGCAGAATAAGGATAACACCAATAGACATGATAACACAGACAGAGGAAATTCCAAGGTCTCCACCCTAGATAAAGAACACCAGGTAATTAAGAAATTCTAAGAGTGGAGAGAGCATAGTTAATTATTCAAAACCAAGTGATCGTCTCTGGAAATGTATACATGCAAATAACACTATATGGACAGAATAGGTTGTATTTATATATTCAGAAATATGCACACACCTGTAACAATAATTGTTACAAAGAGTAATAATTGTTAAATAATAATTGTTAAAAGAGTAATACTTTGATCATTATGTAGGCCACTGATACAGAAAAACACTACAAAAGCTTAGCAGTCTATGAAAGGCTTATGTAAGTTTTTGTGCTGATACAAATGGTACCTAAGTTTCACCAAGATTCTTTTCGCTTCAGCTTCCTGGTTGCAGAGCTGATAGCTCCCAGGTCACAGCCACACATTCTCCCTACTTGTAATGGCTGTCCTTCCTAAATCCAAGTAAAGCATGCATAACCTAGTCATTTCCTTTGTGACAGTATAAGACCAAGCAAATGGAATATGAACTGGGGTGG